CTTCCATATTCATTATCCAACCTTAAAATGCGTATCAGACAATTGAAAATATCATGGGCTCACTCAGGCACACTTTAGATTTCAAAGTGATGTCTTTGCTATTTAACACATATTAGGCAGATTTAGGCAACAAAATAAGTCTTTTATTTCTTGACCGCTACATCCACAAATGTTAGTTATGGACTCTCATGTAAAATGAAATTGACCAGTTCAATATTTTCTCCATTTCATGATATTGCTTATTAGTCCACTTGCGGTCCTTTTTTATCTTGTATGGAGTCCTGATGGCATAAGATTTCACAGGGGTAAGACTGCTGACCTCAAGGTTGGTAGTTCAAGTCCACCAGCTGCTCGTTGGGAGCAAGATGAGATGTCTCTTCACATAAAGATTTATAGCCTTGGAAGCTTGATGGAGGGTAACTATTGCTCAGAACTGACTCAAGGCAATGGGTTCGGGGTGAGTTTTATTTGTAAGTTGTCCTGATGATGGAGCATGTTACATGTTGAGTTGCTAATCAAAAAGTTGGCAGTTCAATATCAGCTACTCCATGGAAGAAAGAAAAATAGTCCTCTCCCATAAAGATTTAAAGCTTTGGGAACTAGTGGAAGGTTGCCAGGAGGCAGACCCAACTAGACAGTAATAGTAGCTTTTTTAAATTTTGTTGTTCTTCTTGTTGTTAGGTGCCACTGAGTCGAGTATGACTCATAGCGACCCTGTGAACAAAAGATCTGAACCCTCTTCTATCCTACAACTTCCTCATACTTCCAGACACACAAGAGCCCATTGCAGCAGTCACTGTGACAAACCACCTAGTGGAGGGTCTTCTCCTTTGCTGACCCTCCCCACCCTTCCCAACATCATGTCCTTTTTCAAGGAATAGCACCTCTTAACAACATGCCCAAAGTATATGAGGCAAAGCCTCATCATTCTTGCCTCCAGAGAGCACTGTGCCTACACCCTCTCCAAAACCTATTGTTTATTCTCTTGGCCATCCATGGAATGTTCAGTTCTCTTCTCTAACACCTTGTAAAACAAAACAAAACAAAATCACAAACTTGTTCTGTTAGCTGGTATGTATAAAATCTACTTATCTTGAAAATGTGTTTTTTAAAAACAATAATCTACTTATAAAATCTACTTGTGTTTTGAAAGCACTATTTTAAAACTATGACGGTGTTTCATTTTGATGCAACCTGATTACAGTTTTTGACTGGATTTACTTTTCACATATTGATTCTACAGAATACTTTCTAATGCAGTACATATAGAATACTTTCTGATGCAGTACAGTAAAAGTAAGCTTTTGATATTTTAACCTAATGGAACTGTGTTCCTTTGTTATGTCCCTACATTTAAGTTATCTCAGTCTCCTACTCAAAATGCCCTTGCATCTCTTTAGCTAGGGCTGAGTGAGTGCCTTATAAAGTCTGACCCTGACTAGAGCAGATTATAGTGTAGCAGAGAGAGCTAAATTTAGAGGGAGCAGAGCCTCTGCTCCAAATAGCAACAGCTAAACAGTAGACACCAGTCTTGGTAAGCGGAATATCTTCATTTAATCTTTCACTACCAGTTGGTGAGTCTTGTTTTTTTTGTTTTACTTTTGATTTTTTTTTGGCATTATTATGTTGCATTCTTATCCATGTAAAGTATACTGGCAGCTGAAAAAGTAAATCTATATGGGTAGCCTGTGAAGAAACAAACTTTTCTATTTAGAACTGAAATAAATATTAACAAAGCTAAAATATTTTTTGAAAGTAGAGTAATTCTCTTGTAGACCATGTTTGATGAAAATTCTCTATTAGTGGAGAAATAAAATTAGGTAAGAAATTCCTGAGTTTACTTTCTGGACCCTAAAATAAATAACTTTTATAGAGAAGGCTCACATTTTAAAAGATTATTAATTCTAAAATAAAAAATGCTCATATATTAATTTCTTTCATCTTGTGCTTTTTAGCTAGAGAATGTTCAACCTAGTTTGCTTTATTTGGTTTTGCTCCTGAATATGATCCCTGAAGGGGGTCTAGTTTAAAGGAGTTGTGCTGCCAAACCAAAGACAGGTAGTTCAAGTTCACCAGCTGCTCCAAGGGAGAAAGTCTGACAATCTCCTCACATGAGAGGGTCCACTGTGAGTTGGTTCTGACTAAAAAACAATGAGAATGAGTGAGAGATGAGCCCCAAATTCTTCTCAAGAAATTCATTACTAACACAAGAATAGATTTTATTCTTTCAAATCTGGATTTCAACACACTTCCAATCAAACAATTCAAAGTGAACAGTAACACCCAGGAGGAATGTGCTTCTATATAGCTTACCAGAATATGAAATCATTATATATATATCACTTAAAAGGACAGATTTTTCCCAGAAACAAACTTCAGAAGGAAAGGTGGGTGAATGAACAAGAACCCTGAGAAAAAGTGCTAAGAGTTTAGTTAAATGTTACAAAGCAAATTGTGTATATAAATAACTGAGTGGGGAAATTATTTACTCTATAAGCTTTCATCCAAACCAGTTCTAAAATGTTCGAAAACAAATATATTCTTCCTACTTGTGGTTTTTTTTTGAAAGGACATAGTATGGGAAACACACACATTTATATTGTGCATACAGAGTTGGGCCTGCTCATCTATGGACACAACCAAACCTGAATCAAAAATACTGGGGGTGCTGGGAAGGATTGGCTCATAAAAAGCAAATGACCAAATGATTCTTCAAAAGATGTGGGGGGAAAGCACTATTCACATAGCTCTTACATTACATTAGTCTTAGAAGTAATCTAGGAGTGATTTGAGGTATGTGGGAGGGCTGTTGTAGGTTATATGCAGCTGCTTCACCATTTTATATAAGAGATTGAGAATCTGTGGATTTTGGTGTCTGTGAGGGGTCCTAGGATCCTTGTTATTAAATTTTTATCCCAGAACAGTGATCCAGAGTAAAAATGCAAACAGGAAAATTTCTCAATGAAAAAGTTGTATAGTACATACTAATAATTAATTAGAAGCTATTTCCTGTTTCCATAAAATAAAATGGGATTTCATTGATTACATTAATTGCATTTGTAACTTGTAATATGTAGCTATTATCCCAGAAACATACTCCACTCTCTTTCTCTCCTCTTGTTGTAGGTATGGCTTTTCTTTGACTTACCATATTGTATATATTTCGATTTTATCCTTCTGCTAGACCTTGTGTTTCTTGAGGGCATAAATTCTACCTTTGTATGTGAAAGCTTAATACCATGAAGCTCATTTTACTTTTATCTAATTGATAAAATTCATTCTACTAATCCATAAAATTACTTTTTTGTGTTTGTGACTTTTTTGCTAACTGACTTCAGTCTTTTTGTAGTGATATAACTTGAAGTTTTTTAGTGGTAAACCAATTTTTTTAAATCAAGCTTGATATTTCTCTTCACTTATAGCTAAGGAAGAAGGATTTTGTATATAAATGAAATAATAATTTTCCCATATTCTTAAGGAGCTTTTCAAAACCTTGAGAAAACATTAAATCCTTTGAGTACTGCAAATGTTCTTGATTATATATTGAGGTGAGTAATACAGAAACCTAGGAATTACCAAAAGAATCCTGATGGTGCAATAATCCTTCTAACTCATCAAACATGTCTCAAAGGAAAGATGTGGCGATTGCTTCCAGAAAGATTTATAGCCTTGGAACCTCAATGACAGTGGATTTGTTTTTGTTTAGGTTTATAAAACTTTGAAAGAAAACATAATTTTCATTCATAGTGCACAATATCTTAATTGTTTGACCTTTACAAATTAGGTGACTTAAACATCTTCTCAGAATACAGCATTATGATAACAAATTATACATTCAATCCCATAGAAAATATAAAGTACTTTAGTCCTCATCCTCTGAGATTAAAACAAACAACAAAAACCTTTTAGTAATTTCTTGTATCTTTAACTTTTCTTCATACAGAAAATGGTACATAAAGCTTTTGTAGCCAAGTAATAGTATATTTTCTATTCTTTTATTCATATTGCTGTTTGTCATTGCCAGTATATCCTGAACATCTTTCTATATCATTACAGTAGTTTGACCATTATTTATTACTATAAATTCATTTTCCAACTCATTGCTGTCTACTTGGAACCACTTTATAGCTTATCAACAATGAAGCACTCAGCTATGAAATAAGAGGTTAGAGGTTGGAACTCAGCTCCCAGGAGAAAGGCCAGGCAGGTAATCTGCTTCCAAAAAGAGTAGGCTAGGCAACCCAGAGTACAGCTTCTCTGCTCTGTCACCTGGTTTCACAGTGAGTCAAGAATTAACTCCACAGTGACTATCAGTGACATTAATGATTGCTAGAGAGTGGCTTGGGTCATAAAACCTGGAGTATTAAGTAAAACTCATATAGCCTCTGGCCTCCAGGAGAGGATGCTCTCCAGGAGAAAATAGTAGTTTGAATTAGTGGTTCGAATCCACCAGCTGCTCCACAGGAAAAAGATGGGCAGTTTCTTCCCATGCAATTTAGGGCTGGGTTACTTGTCATGGACAGAGCTAGCCTCTCTGTAAAGGGGGCTTTTGCATAGATGTAAGAAATAAACCATGTGAACACTGAGGGGAAATCCCTTCCAAAAGAATGGCAGGTATAGAATTTCAGAAGCCAGAACCTGGCTGGGCATAAAATTAACAGTGTTGTAATTGAATTTTATTAGCACATGAGTGCACACTTAACTAACACACAATGTTAAGACATATGTATGTTCTTGTGAGTGTAACTATAGGATAAATTCCTAGAGAGTTTCTAGGACAGAGTTTTTCTAAAAGTTTGTATATCACAGAACAGTTTTACAAATATTCTCCAAGTCTTCCCAGTAACACTGTATTGCATTTACCCTTTATGTAAATTATCTGTACTTGCTTTTCCCATGTCTTTATCTAACAATAGGTGTTAATAAACTTAAAAATATCTGCTCATCAAGTATTTAATATTTTTAATAAACACATAATCTTTTTTTATCTTATTTTCCAGAAATTTTATGAATAAGCATCAGAAGCCAGTGCTAACAGGCCAGCGGTTCAAAACTCGGAAAAGGGGTAGGTTATGTTGTGTATTTGTGTGTGTTTGTATTGTGTATTTAAAGATGTAATAAAAATGTAAGACTGGAGGGGGGGAAAGCTCCACTTAGCCTTACTAATTTCACAGAGTTGAACCCTGAGTATAGAACCGGAAGTTCTGTTAACAGCTACAGACCTGCCAGTCATTCTTCTTCTGGCTGCCTTACTGTTATGTGAAGCACTTCACTGATTTTGACATAAGCATTATTTTCTTTCTTTGGTGTTTTGTTTTTTTAGTGTCATTGACAAAGATGGTTGGTCAAACTAAGAGAAAATGGAAATTAAGGAGGTAGATCAGCTACTGAAGAAAGTTTATATATTCACATATTATTGTTGGGTGCCTTCAAGCTGACTGACTCATAGTGACCCTCTGAACAGAACATTCGAATCTTGCTCTATCCTGTACCATCTTCTTGATCTCTGATATGCTGGAGCCCATTGTTCCGGTCACTGTGTCAGACAGCCTGTTGCTATGGTTTGGGGGTTTTAATTCCCTTTCTTTCTATTTTAGGTTGCCCACCCTCACCCCCACCCCCAGTCCTCACATATACCATTTACTCTTCCCACTATCTTGTTTGCATTCACTCCCTTCTTCCTACTCTTTGAATTTTATCCCTGGACACATACTTCTCCTGTGATCCTGTGTGTGGCTAATTGTTTTAAGAGCTGAGTGTCTCATTGGTATTATTGTTCACCATAAAGGTCTGTCTGTTGTTTGGCAGAAAATTACTAGGGTAAGTTGAGTTCCTGGATCGGCAGGGGGCTAAAGTCTTTTAATACCAGGGTTTCCATCACTGTCTCTCAGAGCAGGAGAATCTATCCATTATTGTAATTCTGTGTTTTACTCTCCCTTTTTCTTCCACTCTATCCAGACATTCTACTCTTCTTCCTTTCAAAGCAGTTAGCAATGGTGGCCAGGCACCATGTAGTTTTTCTGATCTCAGCATCATGGAAGTTGAGAATTGTAAGCTCTATGGGTGCAGTAAACTAATGTTTCCATGTGCCTGTATACTCTTATAATTCATGTATTTCTGAATACTTTCTATTGTGAGAAGAGTAGTGATAGACCCAGTTCAGTGATGGCTGGTAAAATTACTCTGTGAGAGTGGCTTCTTTTGGTGATACAATTTTCACTTCATTATTCATTCTTTGTAAAGAAAATATTATCAGGGCTGAGGTGGCACTAGCCTGCCCTCTCACCATGCTAACTGTTGAAGTTGTTGCTATTACTGCTGTTGTGTGTTCCATCAAGTTGGAACTAACTCATAGCTGACCCTTCAGTTGGCTTTCAGAGGCTATAAATCTCAAAGGACGAAAGCTGGCGAGTTCAAATCATGTGCCTTTGTGTTGACGGTGCAGCTCCTAACCACTAGGCCACCAAAGGTCCCATAACAAGTCTAATCATCTAAACAGGAAAGAAAACCACATATAATAATAGAGCATTTGGATCAGTTATTTTTTAACAGTCACTAGATAGCCGTAAGTTTGACTTTTTACCTGTGAGGACTGGGATGAAAGTGCTGATTTGGATTTATACCTCTGCTCTGTTGAGGATTTTTCTGCATTCACACTAGAAGGTTAAAGTTTTCAACATGTTAAGGTAAAAAACATGACTTTTAGCATATTTCAGTCCTGTGATGTCCCTTCCTGCCTCCCCCAGTTTTTTGATTCCCAGGCTGTCTTCAAAGGCTTACACACCAGTACAGCATGACCCCGCCTCCTTCTACTCCTCATCCTAACCTTCAGAATGGAATCCGTGCATCAGCTATTAAGTCATTGTTTAAAGCAGTCTTGGGGGGAATAAAAGAGTTGATTTCAAAAGAACTTAAGCAGTAGGAACAATAAAGTCCCGAAACCTAATTACAGTTGAGACATTTTTGGACCTGGTAAAGTGATAATATTTCATATATGCCTGACTTTGAGGTGCAGAAAGGTTTGCTGCTCCCTGCCTGCTGAGGGAATGTGTTAATCTAGGACCAGGATCTGCAGCTCAGTCAGCTTTATGACCGTGACGTGACGCTGATTCATTGCAATTGAGCACCAGAGCCAGGAGACGGCCTGAGAACGTGTTGCTCAAGAGCAGACATGATTCAACAGGAAAGCTGGTCCTCCGAGGCAGTCTTCAGCTTGAAGCCCAAAAGATTCTTCTCTCTGAACTGGTTGACCTCTGTTTCATTGAGGGCTTCAGACAGTGCCTGGGTCTTTTGCTTCAGGAGCACTGAGGAAGAGCTTCCTGAGAAATAGATGATATATTATTTGTCAGATGATCTAGATTTCTATAACTAGTCTGCTGGGACTTACAGAGCACTCAAACTGTTTTGTGTCAAACTGCTGACAGGGAGTAAAAAGTAAAATAGATTCTACCTCGTTCTTTCTTCATAATAGTGAATGACCTCTTGGGTGATTTGTTGTCTTCTGACTTTACTACTTGAATGAGGCTCACTTCAGATAAATGTTGGCTGAGCAGTTCTGTCAAGCTAAAAAGAAACTTGCAAAAATCTATCAAGATCAGTTGCCTATCTTCTGAAGATGTGTCTTCAGTTTGAAATTATTTCCTAGTAGAGGTAATACGCATCCATGCCAACTTATACAGAAGCATAGTTCTTATTGTGTTGTTATTTTTGTTGTTATGTGCCATCGAGTTGCTTGCAACTCAAAGCAACCCTATGTACAACAGCTCTAAACTCTGCTCGGTCCTGTGCCAATCGCACACCCATCCCAATTACCCCAGTCACTGAATTAATCCACCTCATAGAGGGTCTTCCCCTCCTGCTCTGTCCCTCTACCCTCCCAAGCATGATGTCCCTCTCTAAGGACCAGTTCCTCCTTATAACATGTCCAAAGTATGTCAAACAAAGCCTCAGAATCCTTGCCTACAAGGAGCAGCCTGCTTTAATCCTCTCAAGGATTAATCTATTTGTTTTCTTAGCAGTCCATGGTACACTCAATACTCTTCTCCAGCACCACAGCTCAAAGGCATCAATTCCTTCTATCCTCCTTAATCATTGTCCAACTATGTGTTGTATAACAAATGATTGCAAAGACCATGGCCTGTATCAGAAGCACCTTAGTCTCCAGAGAGATACCATTGTTCTTCAGTACTTTGGAGAGATCCCTAACAGCAGACTTTCCCATCGCAATACGTCTTTTCATTTCTTGGCTGCTGTTGCCAAGAGTGTTGACTGTGGAGCCGAGCAAACTAAAGCTATGAACGATCTCAATCTCTTCACTATCCATCCTAATGCTGCCAATTGGTCCAGTGGTGAGAATCTTTGTCTTCTTGACATTGAGCCTCAATCCATATTGGAGGCTGCAGTCCTTGACCCTCTGCAGCAAGAGCTTCAGGTCCTCCTCAGTTTCAGCAAGCAGGGTTGTGTCAATTAGTTCTTATTAGTTAACATTAAAATACAGCTATGGTAGTACATAAATAGAGAACTGCAGCTAATCCACCTTTTGCATTCTAAGATAATCACATCTTATGTTCTCCAAAGAAATTATACTTTCTGTGGCTTGCTGTTATGCCACAGTCCATAAGGAGTTGTACTACTAAACCTAATGGCCAAGCTACTGTGGCAGTTCAAATCCATCAGTGGTTCCTCAGTGGAAAAATGAGCAATTTCTTCCCATGCTATTTGCAATGTGCTGTGAAACCCAGTAGCAGGTCAGCAGTCAACCAAGTCCGTACCAACAGCAGTGAGAATATGGTTTGCAGGATTCTCAGAGGATTTGAAAATTTCTCTCCTGATTATTATATTTTGCTAAGTAAAACAATAGCTTAACTGGCTTCCCTGTGTACATTTTATAGTGAAATTGGATCAAAATCAGTAAAATCAGAAGAAGAATAAAAACAACCAGATGCTAAGAGTGACCTCACAATTGAATTGGATTTCTCTTTGAGATATTAATCTGTGCTGGTCAAATGTCCAATAGTGCAAACAGATTACATTTACATGTTATAAAAATGCTATGATAAGTAATCATTGTCATTTTCATTATAAACAATATGCTTATGTAACTTACAGGCATATTTTAGTGTCAAGAATAAACCAGTTTCTCCATGTGTCAATATAAAAGCTGTATGATTAACTGTTCAGTGTCATGCTTGTGATTCACCAACACAGTTTACATTTGAGGTCCTAATTACACACTTAAAACTTCAAGTTTCAATCTGCAAAATGGTAACTCAAGGAAAGCAATGGCATGTTTTCTTCAGAGTTTTTATAGTGTTTCTGTGAAGCTATCCTTAAATGACATGAAAGCTACATATGATTTTGTTTCTCATAGAAATGAGTGGTTGAATAAAGTTGAATTGTTTCCCAAAACTCCCAGTGATGTCCTTGGCATTTTCTTATACTCTTTATGGCTACTTAGCAGACAGAAACTTGTTTCCACATGCAAAAAAATTAATCCTATACTACAGATTTAGACAATTTTTCAAGATCCCAACCCTTAGTGAAGTTAGTCTATAACTGTAATAATTTTGAGCTAATGTATGATTGCTCCTTGTTGAAGTCCTTGGCTGTGATATGCTTTTCCCCTCCTTTTGACTACTGTTTTTTAGTTGTTTTGGAAAATTATAATCATAGAAGGAAGGATTTTTAGAAACATGGATTTTTTTTAAAAAATTGTCTCATATCAAAAGAAAGTCCTGAATGAATTCTTGGCATCAATATCTTATTTACCAACTTGTATTTCCCACTGCCTCAATTTAATTTGTCATTTGAAAATCATCACCTAAGTCTGTTCACCACTTTAGTCAACATGGAAAGTGTGTCTTTGTGCTATTTCTGGGATGAACTTGATTGATTTTGGAAGCTGGTCACAAGATTTCATAAGCAACTGCAGTCTATTTACTCCTCATGTGTCCTCATGTTAAAGGAAAGAAAACATCTTTCTCCATGTGGAAAAGGAGAATCACCCTTTTGGTAGGCCAAACTTAGGAGGTGAAGCAGGCATGCCTTGCCAGACAGCTTCTCCTGCCCAGTTTCTCCCTCCTCTAGTTCTGTACAATCTGTTCCTCTAGAAAGCCATCCTCCTTTCCCTCCGCCACGACACAACAAGACCCTAATTATATTTTTCCTGCAGCGAGCATTTGCATGTTCTTGGATGGATAACATTTTCCGTGTGTGGCATCAAAGGGACTTTTACTCATGTCAGATACTGTTCAAGTTAATTTATGTGTGCCTTTATGTTATCTCACACTGCTTGGCTCAGACTGGTACTAGAAATGCTCTGGTTCTGATGGTGTGGTGTTGACTACCTGCAGCCCACCCCCTCAATCATCTTCAGATGACCAATCACTACAAGCCTGCCAGTTGCTATCTGTGTTTTTAAGTATAGTTTTTCAATTTATCAGAATTCTGTATGCATATGGTTTAAATAGTTAATTAGTTCATGTTAGACTTGTTATAACAGTAATCTTTTTAAAAAAAACCAACTTTTGGTTTTGATCTAAAAAAATAGTTTGCAGAGCAAATTTGTTATCCATCCTACAATTCATACATATTTTATTGTTTCATAACACTGATTACACTCCCCACATTATAAAACACACATCTCACATTCTCCCTATCCTATGTCTCCCATTTCCATCCATCCTTCTTTATTTGTCCCCTCCTGCCTTCAGAACCCTATCCCTGGCAAATACATGCTAATAACTACAGTCTTCAATATTGTAGAACGTGTATGGGGGGGCGGCGAGGGATGAGCCTGGGCCGAGGGGGAAAGAAGGAGTTAACCATAGGGTCACACAATTTGATGAGGGTAGGGAGGGTGGGTGAGGGGTATGGGGAATATTGTTGTGAAAAACAATGTATACGACCTTTATAAGTAAACCAGTATAAAATTTAAAAAAAACAACCAGTCTTCATTTCCCGGAAGAACTCCTTTAACACTTATAGCTGATTCTTTGAATATTTACTTTCATATTGACACATATTCTTATGTGGCTATTTCACGTCTTTTCTATATATTAACTTCTGCATGGTTTGAATCCACCAGCTGAATCCAACAAGGCAGTTCTTGATTTAAAACCCATCAGCCTTTCACTTTCACTGTCATGTAAATGTATTAGTACACTTTAGAAAGTATAGCAATTCTACCATTTTGAAAGACTTCTAATATATCACATCATGTTATATTATTATGTTGAGGAACTCTCTCACAATCAGGTTGTTCATGAGGCTAGCTGTACAGTTGTCAACCCAAGACATTCTTTCACCACAGTCCTGGAGAGCCCATTCTCTCATGTTCTTCTGTCTTTCTTTGCACCTTTTAGTGGAATATATCCTTCAGAACTTTGAAGCTTTAAGTATCTCAACATACATTCATTCTCTTACCATTGACTCTCTACAGGTGGACTGTAGAATTCTAGGTTGGAAATTGTTTTTCATTAGAACTTTGAGGTTAGTTCTCCTATTTGCTGGTATTTCTGTGGAGCACATCAATGCCATTTGTTTCTTGATACTCTATATGTGACATTCTCTTTGACCCAGAAATCTGCAGATAGCTACTTTGTTTACAGTATTCCTAAGTTTCATGTTGATGAATGTGCTTGTTGTGGATCCGCTTTCATTCATTGTGCAAGGTGCCAAGATGATGCTTTTTATTTGACAACTCATATCCTTCAGTTCTGGGAAACTTTTTTTACTTTAAAAAATAATTTTATTTCCTTTTTTTTCCCTTTTGATAGTACGTTGCTATTTTCCTTATCTTTTTTCCTCCAGTTTTGTAGTTTTTTCACATTAGTTTCTAAGACATTTTCAGCTTTCTTTTTCATTGTTCTATTGATTTTTTCATTTTAATCACATTTTTCATTTTTAAGGCTATTTTTTTTATTCACAAAATGTTTATAAGCCTTTTCTTTCATTCTCTTTCTCACACACATACATAGAATTTCAGTATCTTCACTTGTATCTCTAAAGATAGTTATTTTAAAGATAGATTTTTAGATTCATACCTTGTCCACTTTCCTATACTCAGATCCATTGTTATTAGGGAGAAAATGTTGCCTTTAATCCAATGGTTCTGGTTAGCCTGACCTCTAGTATGTTATCTGCTTATGTATCATCCCTCAAATACAGCTTGCTGCAGTCAGGTTGGTTCATACTCACAGTGGCCCTCCATTGTGTTTCCTAGGCTGTAAATCTTCATTAAAGGAAAGCACCCATCTTTCTCCCACAGAGGTGCTGTTGGATTAGACACCAGCCTTTAGGTTAGCAGCACAACACCACAGACAAAGCCCCCAGAGCTCTTTTTTCAATATCTGGTCCAAACTGCCTGTCCACAAGAAATTTCTCTAGCGTCTAGGCCAAAATTTCTGACTTCACACATGTATATCCAGTTCTCTTTAATCCTTTGACTATACTTTTAGCATATGCCTTTGTAATTGTTTGGTAAAAGGAATGCAAGGAACACAAAGGTTCATATGCTAATTGAAAAGTTGACAATTCAAATCTACCTAGTGGCTCTGTAGGAGAAAGATCAAGCAATCTGATCCCATAAAGATCACACTCCAGAAAACCCCTATGTTATGTTGTTGTTGTTGTTGTTGTTGTTGTTGTTGTATTGTTGTGTATCATCAAGTGAAAACCAACATATGTTTTCAATGTAGGTTTTCAGAAGCCGCTTATCATTCAGGGAAGAGATTGTCCATCCTTCTCCCACAGAGCAGCTGGCTGACTTGAACCTCATTCTTCCCAGTTTGCAGCGAAGATTCTTACCACTAGGCCACCAGAGCTCCCGAGAAAACCTCTGTAGGCAGGTTACTGTGGTACCTGGGGTCACTGTGAATTGAAATCTACTGGTCGTATTTAATAGCAACTGCTCTGTAGTAATCTGTCTATATTTATTGAGAGTGAAAAAGCTATAGGAAACCTTTATAGTCTTCAGATTTCTGCAGCATCTCCCATTTCCTTTAGAATTCTGACACCTTTTCTGAGAATCCACAAGTTGAAACTATTTTCACACTACTACTAAGATATTATTTGCCTTTTTCATATAATCACTCATACACTTACAAGGGAGTTTTTCAGAGGCTTCTTGCCATTTAATAACAGATGTGAATCCATCTATCTTCTGTTTTCTGTTTTAATTTCTAATAAAATGTCCTCATGTATAATCTCCATAAACAAAAAAAGTTGTTTGTAATCATTAGTACTTTTTAAAAATGTTAAGGAATCGTGAGGCCAAAAAGTTTGAGAAGCTCTGTTCTGACCTTGTATATAAAATACAGATGTAGACTCATGATTTATTCTAAATATATAAGTACCTTGAAATAATTTATTTTATAAAAGAGATAATACCCTTCTCTCCTAATCTTTATTTGTATTTATATGCCTTCACTTATTACTTAACCATTCTCCTGAATCATTTTCTTTATCTTAGGATAGAAAACAATTTAAGTTTAATTCTTTAACTCTTTTTTTTCTTGATGACTAAGGTAAATAAATTAATAAATGTACTTAGGAACAGTCACAAATTTTATTATGTTGTTGACTGAGTAAAACGTACTTTTGTAACACTTACAAGCACAAAGAAATTATTTCCTTGAATATGTTTTAAACAAGAATTTTCAAAACATGGAAATTTGATAGAAAAAGCTATGACCTTGAATGGCAAGTTTCATTGGAGTGTATGATGTCTAAAAAAGAAATTCTTTTATAATTTTTTTTTAACTTTTAGATGAAAAAGAGAAATTCGAACCCACAGTCTTCAGGGATACACTCGTCCAGGGGCTTAATGAGGCTGGTGATGACCTTGAAGCTGTAGCCAAGTTTTTAGACTCCACAGGCTCAAGATTAGATTACCGTCGCTATGCAGACACACTCTTCGATATCCTGGTGGCTGGCAGCATGCTTGGTAAACCATGTGTTATAGCATCTTCTTACAATATACATTAAATCCCAATAAAATATTTCTTTATGATATTTAGACAGTTTAAAATCTCTGTAACTGTGCATTTGTTATCAGAGTTTATTGAGAAAATAAGAATAAGGGCCTCATTCGCTTTGTAATAGATTACAGCTTAAAATGTTGTTAATGTGTCTATGAAGTGAGTATTACTAAATAAAGGCACAGCTTTGAGAATTTGTATTAGATTATACAACAGTTGGCCCCTTTATTGTATTTAAAGCCAACTTTCCCATGTAGCCTTAATTGTTAAAAGTATCTGAAGTGGATGTGAAAGGTATTTTTTCCTATCATTTTATGTGTATTTAGACCTTTCCATAATGAACCCAAAAATCTATAAATACTTTTTTAATCTTTTTTTTTCCCCAGTAGAATGTAGCCAGGTGAAAAAAAAAAATTTGAGATATGTCTAAGGCCAAACTAATGCCATTTGATCAATATAAAAAAAACTATCTAAGGACTATAGTTTAAACATGTGGAAATTACCAAAAATATTATTATGATTATTATCATATGCAAGTAAAAGAATCCCAATGAATATTTAGAAATTAGTAGAATAATATTGATAGGGAACTGCTAGAAATTTAAGCTGGATTCAGATGAGGTCACGACATGATGGATGTTGTTACTGATGTCAGCTGGATCTTGGCTGAAAGCAGAGGACACCAGAAAGGTATTTACTTGTGTTTTACTGATTATGCAAAGATTTCTGACTGCGGGGATCAAAGCAAATTATAGCTAACTTTAAAAAGAATGAGAATCCTAGAACACTTAATTGTCCTCAGATTAAACTTATACATAGATTAAGAAGCTGTTGTTCAAACAGAGCAAGGGAGCTCTGCATGATTTAAAATTAGGAAAAGTGTGCATCAGAGTTATGTCCTTTGTCCATAACTATTCAATTTGTATCCTGCACATCAAGAAAAGACTCTTTGGCAGCATCATAATACATGGAAAAAAGATTATACTGTTAATAATTTTATCTTGCATGGTTGTTCAATCAAAACTCTTGGCATCAGCAACCAAGAAATCAAAAGACAATTACTTTAACAAGGTCTGCTGTCAGGGACCTCTCCAGAGTGCTAAAGAGCAACGGTGTCAGTCTAGAGACCAAGGTGCATCTGATCCAAGCCTTAATTGTTTACTTTACATTTGAGAGCTGAACAGTAACTAAGAATGACAGAGGAAGATTTGATGCCTTTGAATTTTGTGCTGGAGAAGAGTATTGGACATACCATCAGTTGTCAAAAGAACAAACAGGTCTGTCCTAGAGAAGGTGAAACCAGATTGCTCCTTGGAGGCAGGGATTTTGAAACTCCATCTCACATACTTTGGGCATGTTTTCAGGAGGGACCAATTGTTGGAGAAAAGCATCATTCTTGGAAGAAGAGAGGGTCAGTGCAGAAGAGGAAGACCTTGGATGAGATGGATTGACACAGTGACTATGGCTGTGGGGTCAGGTATGTCAGAGATGGTGAGTTGGCTCAAGATAGAGCAAGGTTCAGAACTCATGTTCATAGGGTCACTATGAGACTTGACAGTATATAATAAAAACTACTAAACTGAACAGATCATTCAAGAAACTGAACTATATAAAGAAAAATATGGCATCAAAATTGTAGGAAGACTCATCAACACCATCCACTATGCAAATGACACAACCTTGCTTGCTAAAGGTGAAAAGCACTTGAAACACTTGCTGTAGAAGTTCAAAGACTACAGCCTTCAGTATGGATTATGTGTCAATATAAAAAAAAAAAAGAAAAATCCTCACCACTGGAACAAAAAGCAACATTGTAATAGATGGAGAAAGACTGAACATGTCAGTGGTTTTCTTTTACTCAGATCTATAATCAACACACATGGTAGCAGCAGTCAAAAAATGAAAAGACATGTTTCATTGGGAAAATCTGCTGTCGGGACTTGTGCAAAATTCTAAAAACCAAATATGTCTGGTTTAAAGATTAAGATGCACCTGATCCAAGCTCTGGTCTTTTTACTTGCTTCCTATGCATCTGAAAGGTAGAGAGTGAAAAAAGATAACAGAAAAATGTATGCCTTTTAGTTGTGGTGTTTGAGGAGAGTATTGAATATCCTTTGGACTTCCAAAAGAACAAACAAATCTGTTTTAGAAGAAATGCATCAAGATGTTCCTTAAAGACAAGGATGTTGAAACTTTGTCTCCTGGATTTTGAGCTCATCAGGAAGTGTCTGTCCTTGGAAAAGGACACCATGCTGGAAAATCATAACATTTCTACCTATGTCAAGGTAGAGGGTAAGAGAAAAATAGGAAGAACCACAATGAGGTGGATTGACACAGTGATTAAACAATGGACTCTAGCATATCGGATATTGTGAGTATGGCGCAGCTGACAGTTCAGATCTGTTTATAAAGTTGCTATGAACTGTTGTAATCTCAATTACAAAAAAAATCATTGTCAAAATTACAAAAAAAATCCAACCAAAAAAAGCCCTAGGCCAGGTGAATTTTACAAACATTCATTTTTACAAATGAATTTTATCAAACATTCAGAGAATTACCAATTCTACCTAAATTATTTAAGAAACTAGAAAAAGATGGAATTCTCCCAGACTCATTCTATGAGGCAAACATATCCTTGATACCAAAGCCAGGAAAGGACACCACCAAAATAGAAAACTATAGGCCAATATCTCTCATGAACATAGATGCAAAAATCCTGAATAAAATACTGGCCAATAAATAATACATCAAAGAAATAATTCACCATGACCAAGTGGGATTCATAACAGGTATGCAAGGATGGTTCAACATAAGGAAAACAATTAATGTAATTCATCATATTAACAAAGCAAAGAACAAGCACCACGTGATCCTATCATTTGATGCAGAAAAGGCCTTTGACAAAATCCAACTTGATTAAACCACTCAACAAAATAGGATTAGAGGGGAATTTCTTCAACATAGTAAAATGTATTTATGCAAACCTGAGAGCCAACATTGTTCTCAATGGAGAGAGATTAAAGGCATTCCCTTTAAGAACAGAAACTAGGCAAGGATGCCCACTATCCCCTCTCTTATTTAATATTCTTTTGGAGCTCTTAGCGATAACAGTAAGACAAGAGAAGGGAATAAAAGGTATCCAAATTGGCAAAGAGGAGGTAAAATTATCTCTCTATGCAGATGATATGATAGTATACTTAGAAAACCCTAAAAACTCAGCAAGAAAACTATTGGACACAGTGGACCAATTCAGCAAAGTAGCAGGATACAAGATCAACGTACAAAAATCAGTTGGATTTCTCTACAGTGACAAAGAGAATCCAGAGCCGGAAATAAGAAAAACATTACCATTCACAATAGCTAATCACAAGGTTAAATATTTGGGAGTAAATTTAACCAGAAGCACAAAGGATATAGTCAAAGAAAATTACATAACATTACTACAAGAAACAAAAAAAGACCTGGAGAAGTGGAAGAATATCCCTTGCTCATGGATAGGAAGCCTCAATATTGTGAAAATGGCAATATTACCAAAGGCAATTTACACGTTTAATGCAATCCCAATACAAATACCAATCCCATTCTTCAAGGAGATGGAAAAGGCAATCTCCACTTTCATTCGGAATGGAAAGAAGCCCCAAATAAGCAAAGCATTCCTTAAAAATAGAAGAAAGGTAGGCGGCATCTCACTCCCTGATTTCAAATCCTACTACACTGCCGTGGTGGTTAAGACAGCATGGTACTGGTACAATGACAGACACATGGATCAATGGAATAGAATTGAGAACCCAAAATCAGCCCATCTATCTATGGTCAACTGATTTTTGACAAGGAGATGAAATCAGTGAAGTGGGGAAACGACAGCCATATTAACAAATGGTGTTGGCAAAATTGAAAAAGTATCTGCAAAAGACTCAAACAAGATCCACACCTCACTCCATATACAAAAACCAACTCATGGTGGATCATGGACCTAGGACTAAAACCAAGGACTATAAGCTTCATTAAAGAAAAGCTTGGAAGAATGCTACAGGTTCTAATCCACAACATAAACAGTCTTCCAAGTATCCTGAAAAACCTACAACCAGGAGAAGATAAAGTAGATGAATGGGATCTTCTAAGAATCAAATCCCTATGCACATCCAAAAACTTCTCCAACCGGGTAAAAAGGGAAGCCACAGACTGGGAAAAAGTATTTGGTAATGACATATCAGATAAGGGACTTAGACCCAGAATTTATAAAACCTTGAGCACCACAACAAGATAAAGGTAAATAATCCAATAGAAAAATGGACATAGGATACGAACCGATACTTCGCCAAAGAAGACATTAAGATGGCTAACAAGCACAAGAAGAAATATTCAAAATCCTTAGCTCTAAGAGAGATGCAAATTAAAACAGCTATGAGATATCATCTCACCCCAGTCAGAATAGCAAAATTTAACAGAACAGCAAGCAACAAATGCTGGCGAGGTTGTGGAGAAACTGGAACCCTTATTCACTGTTGATGGGAGTGTAAAATGGTGCAACCACTGTGGAAGGCAGTATGGCGCTTTCTCAGAAAGTTGCAAATAGAGATACCATTTGACCCAGCAATTCCACTACTGGGAATATACCCTAAAGAGACTATAACCACCATCCAAGCAGATATATCCATACCCATGTTTATTGCAGCTTTGTTCACAATAGCAAGGAGTTGAAAACAACCTAAGTGCCCATCAACAAACGAATGGTTAGAGAAGCTCTGATATATTCACACAACAGAATACTACACTGCATTGAAAAACCAGGAACTCATCCAATATTATTCCAAATGGGTGACCCTGAAGTACATTAATTATGCTGAGTGAAGTATGTCAGTCACAAAAGGACAAATACTGCTTGATGACACTGTTGTAAAACAGGACTGACATCGGGGTTGGAGGGAGACTGAGAAAGATGGGTTCAATAATGTATACTGCATTG